CAGACGGGGGACGGGGGTGGGGGTGGGGGGTTGGGGGGGCAAAAGGAGGGAAGAAGGGAGGGAGAGAGAAAAAACTCAACAAGATCACATGACTTGTCCACGTTCACCATTCTGGACAGAACCAAGGCTGGGAGGACAGGAGCCCAGGTCTCCAAATCCGACCCCAGTGGGTCTCTGGCTACTGCCCACCACGTTACAGGACGTGTGCAGTTTTTCTTTCATTTAGAGGAGGGATCAACAAACTTTTTCTGTAAAGGACCAGATAGTAAATATTTTAGGCTTTGTGGCCATAAGTATTCTTTGTTGGTTTTTGTTTTTTTTAACAAGGCTTTAAAAATGTAACTACCATTCTTAGCGTGGGGGCGGATTTGGCCTGCAGGCCAGCTGCCACCTCCTCTTTCAGAGGCCTGTCGTGTAGATTCTCCTTTCAGCCCTCTCGATCTTTCAGTCAGACGTTTCACATTGAGCAAGAAACACAGGCGGAAATGGTCCTAACAGAACTTTGTAGAATGTATCACTTAATCCTGCAGGTAACACACACAGTGAGACCCTCGGCCGGCCGGCTGGGGCACAGAAGAGGAAGTGCTCCCACCTGTGTGCCCGCAACAGAACCAGACTTGGCCGGGTCCTGAGGTGAGCTTGACTGTGCCTCTAGAACCTGTAAAGAACTGCCCTCCTGGGGCTCTGACCCAGCAGCTGGTGACCAAGGGGACTCCTGACACCCAGAGGCGGTCAGGGACACCCCTCAGGAGAAGGCGGCAAAACCACCAGTCCTTTCCCCGGCCATGGCACTGGCTCCAGGCGGGTGGGGTTTCCTGCTGTTTCTAGGGGGAATTCTTGCCACTTCCTAGCAACACGTGCAGAACACAAGGTGAAGCCAGGCCCTGTCAGCTGAAATTTGGAACCCAAGTGAAAGTGGCCAGTAGCCCACTACCTCAAAAATGAGTTACATTGAAGTGATTCCTGAGGCAGAGACCAATTCAGGATATGGTGCCATAGTTGGCTTAAAAATACGGTAACCAGGATGTGCAACTATGACACACAACTATCTACTGGGGGCTTTGGGGAGAAAAAGGAAGAGGATTGGCAATAGATGTTAGCTCAGGGCCGGTCTTCCTCACAAAAAAAAAAAATATATATGGTAACCAGGGTTGCTTCTCATTAGGAAAGTAAGATACTTATTTTAAAACCTAGAAAATGCCAAAAGGAGGAGGGAAAAAAAATACACCCAAAGCCACATTACCCAAAACACAACTAAGTTAGACACTATTTCTTTAGTGTCTTTTTTCTTTCTTTCTACATATATTTTCCTTTATGAAGTAGTAATCAAATTAAATGTAGGATTTTATATTTTGCTTTTTTCATGGAACACTAATCCCTAAGTTTGTCTTCATGCTTGGATGAAGAACGTTGGATGCTTGGATGCTCTTGAACGTTATTTAACATGTCTGTGATCCTAAACACTAAGATGTTAAGGTTTAAACTACAAAATAGTTTCCTGCCAACTGTTCCGCTATAGCTGCACATTCAGGTCAGCCCCAGTGTTCTGCTTCTTTAAATAAGGACTTTGCTAACCAGATGCAGCAACTTGTCCCTCAGACTCTGTCCTCAGGGTAGATTCCCAGCAGTGGAACTGCTAAAGCAAGCGAGAAAACATTCTTTAGGCTCCTGACATGGTGTCACACCGTTTTCCCAATGGCTGTCAACACTCCCAGCTCTCTGTGAGGAGGCCCCTGGGCTCCAGCCTGGCCTCAGCATCCCTTCCACAGTTAATGCCTACTGTGTGCCTGCAAGACACCAAGCACTGAGGACACACTCACAGCAAGCCTTCCCCATAGGCCGCTAACCCAGGTTCACCTTTTATCCAGTTCTCACTTTAAGTCCTGACAAATATGACAGACAAAATATGGCGTCTGGTCTCACTCTGCATTTGCCTAATCGCTAGTAAGGTGCGACATTTTTCCACGTTTGTAATTCTTTTTGAACTATGTTTTCGCCCCACTTCCCTATTGGTGTCATAGGACACATATGAAGTGACAGAAAAACTCCTTTCTATAAGAAAGATATTATCCTCCTTTTTAAAAAAAACAAAAAGCAAAGCCAACACTTGTAAATCTTGAGGCAGGAGGAACAAGATTTTTCCTCAGTCGTCAGAGAAGTGGTTTAATTGCCAGCAAACAGAGGGGTAAACCCAACTTTTGGCCGAAAGAGCATCTTAAAGACAATCAGAGGGCTGACTCGGCCAGAGGCTGTCGCAATCCTCAGTGTGCTTCTCCTGGCCTGCCACCTTCCCCTCACAAACCCGGCTGTGCTATCAAACTGCTCAAGTTCTGGCCCCTCCAGGCTCCCAGACCTCTCATGCGAACATGAGCTTAGAATCGAAATGAAAGTATTACTCAGTAGGCCATTTCATCATTCCTCTGCTCTTTCCCCAAGACGCTCTGTGGAATGTTCAATCAAGATCCCCCTTCATGCCAGGGACAGGCTGTCCATAGTCTGCGGGAGGCCCAATGGCCCCAAAAGGGCCCAGGCCCCTGTAAAGGTCACCATGCACTGTTTTGTGTTTTACACATCACAATGCTGGCAGCCGCCTTGGCTCACAAACTGGCCTCCCCACAATGGCACCAGTCTACTAGGAAGAGAAATGACTGCGTTTGAGGCCAAAAAACCCGTGGAGTGAATCAACTCAGAGATGTACTCACCGACAGAGACATGGAATGTAAATGGCATTTCCTAAAAGGCCCAGATTAAGAACTAAAGGCAGGTGTGATGGTTAATTTTATGTGTCAACTTGGCTAGGACAAGGTAGCTAGATAGTTGATCAAACATTATTCTAGATGTTTCTGTGAAGGTATTTTTTAGATGAGATTAATGTTTAAATCAGTAGACTCTGAGTAAAGCAGATCACCTTCCATAATTTGGGTGGGCCTCATCCAATCAGCTGCAGGTCTGAACAGAAAAAGACTGGGGTTTCCCAAAGAAGAAGAAATTCTGCCAGCAGACTGCCTTCGGACTCGAACTGCAATTCTTCCTGGGGTCTCCAGCCTGCCGGCCCACCCTGCAGATTTTGGACTTGTAAAGCTTCCACAATCATGTGAGCCAATTCCTTAAAATAAACCTCTCTAGATAGATACATACATACATACCTACATAGACAGATACACAGACACACCCTATTCGTTCTGTTTCTCTGGAGAAGCCTGACTAATACAGCAGGTCACAAGACCTGGATCCCATGGACAAAAACATTCATATCCTGTAAACAAGAACAATGCTGCAGAGAAGCCACCCTAACAAATACTTTAGGAGGAGACAAAAGCCCTGTGCATGAAAATGTTCAAGACTGGCTGATAAAAAGAAGAAAAAAAAAATGCCAACAACCTAAATAGTCAACAACAGGGGAAGCTTTAGCAAATCATGACATATTGATTTGACTAAATATCAACCAATCGATATTCACAGTTACATAGAAACATAGAAAATATTTGATAGTATAAGCTTTGGAGCACAGCATAACCTAACCTTAATACCAGCTTTGCCCATTTCTTTGACAAACCTCAACTCTGTATGGAATCCCATTCTTTCATCCATCAAGTGGAGGTGATACCCACCAAACTCCCAGGGCAGCTCTAAATGTTAGTATAAGGTATATACATGGCTGGCATATCACAGATGATCAATAAGGTAATGGTACTAATACAGGTATCCATGTGAATGAGGATGAGAGTAAAAATCAGAAATAAAAACAGACACAGTCTCATGAGAAAGAAAAAACTCATATTAAAACAACATAAAAATGAAAAGCCTAGGCCTAGCAACATCCTGTGTCCCTTACTCCTATCTTCGTTTTACACTCTCATGGGCTGATTCTGAAGTCAGCCGTGATCAGCACAGCACTGAGCACCGTGAAGCCCAGATGAAGAGGGTCCTCGTCAATTTGGCACGAAGAGTAAGACCAAGCAAGGGAATCATTACAAGAGGAGTACAGCAACAGCAGCAGCTCACCTGGGCTGTCTCTCTTAATGTGTCAGCACCTGTTCAAAGGCCCCACATGCAGTCTCCCATTAAGTGGACAACAACTCTACAAAGCAGGTATGTTTCTCTCCCAGGTCTCAGATGAGGCCTGAGGCTCTGAGAGGTGAAGTAACTCGTCCAACCTGGTCCAACTTAAGCCACGTAGCTAGTGAATGAGAACCCGGGCTGTCTTGACTCCAAGATCCAAGCTCTTCACTATGCTTTTCTGCTTTATGCCTCCACGGGCATAAAGCCCCTTCCATAGGTATAAATCTACTGCAACTCCAGTGTTAAGGCAGCAAGTGCAGGCAAATTACTGCTGTTCACACCCCTGCCGATAACACAGAATTCACCAGCCGTGACCATTCTCTAGAATAACCTTGCCTTTCTCCCGAGCTTCTAGGCACTAGTGGCAGGTTCGAGATGCGAGAAAATCTAAGCAATAAAAATGAAAGACGTACATATAAAGCAAGAACTTCAAGGCACATATCTTGACACCAACTTTGAATAAGTACCTTCAAATATACTCCCTTCCCCTTAGTTCTCAGGAGAATAACAAGCTAATGCTCCTTCCTCCTAAACCAAGATCTGAAAAATGAATGATGCCCTAAACACATAGAAAACTTCCGTTCTTATTTCACCCAATACTGTAGAAAGAAAAAGCAGTTAATGTACCACTCTTCGTGCAAAGCCAAAGTGGAACTTACTTCTCCGGCGACTCCGAGTGGCCCATGCACTTCCTTCCTGACGTGGTCCTGTACACATCATCCTCATTTTCATCCACATCTTCATCATCGATGCTTTTCACATCAAGCTTCTGGTACCCCAACTCCCCGTTCAGAGACACAGAATCAATTTTCCATGAGTTGCTGCTCTGACTTCCATTGGAATTTTGCCCAAAGGGGCTTTCAAAAGCCGACATGATATTCACCGAGGAGCGGTCGGAGTTCTCCTCCGAGCTCTCCCCAGCCCCAGGTATCTTTTTAAAAACGTCACCAGAGATCTGCTCATCTTCCTCGTCATCAAATGAGATGATGTTAGTCACCTTCTTTTTCCTCTTCCTCTCCTTTTTACATTTGGCATCTGACAAAAGAAAAGATATGGTATAAGAAAAAGTAGGCAAGATAAAGGTATGATCGAGCCATCTTGCCTCTGGATTGTGGAAAAAAATCCTCTACTGTTCGATTGAAAAATAAATGTAAGATAAATTCAGATTTTTAAAAAAATCCTTGGGAAAAAAATCTGTCCACAGGAGACTGAGCAAAATGGATGTGGGCCTCTACCTCTGATTTAAACAAATATGCCACAAAGCATCCATTAAAATCATTCCTTCTCAGTACTTTGATTCATAGGATGCTACCACTACTGAAATGATTTTTTACTGTTTCACTTTGGAAAACACTCTCATGGCTGGTAGATGAGACCAAGAAAACCAGTGGGGGGATTGCAGTCAACTGTTTCATGGCCACGATTCCTCCCATCCCTGCATAATGCCCCTGTGCAATGGGACTTTGCTGCTTCTCCCATGGAGGGTGGGTCTACTTCTCCACCCCCATGAACCTGGGCCGGCTTGGTGCTCTGCTTTTACCAATGGAATGTGGCAGAAATAACGACATGTGAGTTCTAGAGCCTAGGCATCAAGAGGTCTTGCACCCTTGTGGAATGCTGCCCTGAAACTACCATGGAAGGAAGCCAGTCTAGCTTAGTGGAGGATGAGAGGTCATGTGGAAGAAAACTGAGATGCCCCAGCCAACAGTCAGCACCAATTCCAGACGATGAGTGGGGCCATCTTGGATCTTCCAGCTCCACCACCAGTTGAATGCAGCCCCACGAGTGAGCCCAGGTGAAACCAGCAGAAGAACCATCCTGCCAACCCATAGAATCATAAACAATAATAAATCGTGGTTATTTTAAGCCACTACATTTTGGAGCTGTTTGTTACACAGCAAAGGCTAACTGGAACACAAGTCAGGACTGCCTTGGTGACCAGTGCTCAGGTGAGCCAGTCTGTTCACCCATCTTAATAGTCAAACTTGGGTGTAAGACATTTTGAGCCAATTCCAAAAAATCCAATCCATCTAAACCAAGGTGTGACATGGTGATGCTTCACCAGTGTGTCACAACTCTGAGACAATGTCCAAACAGAGCCTCCAAAATAGATGGAAAAGACACTCCTTTGGGTATACAAATTTCAGCGTCTCTGTTACACAAAGTCCTCAACAGTCCTATTTCCTATGTCATTCACATGGGGTCTCTGCTCAAGAAGGAGAGACGAGACAAAGCCGAAGACTCCATGGAGTCTGAGTTTTCACCATTAATAATTCCAAAGTGATGACCCTGATTATCGCCTTGTTTAAGGGATTTGAAAGTACTAGGACTAAGTAGTTAGACTCAAAATTTCCTATTTTGTTGTAGCAACATTCTGGATGTCCCTGAAAGCTCAAGGGGTATTGTAAACTTCTCATAAAATTAATCTTGGGCCGGCCCCGTGGCTTAGCGGTTAAGTGCGTGCTCTCCGCTGCCGGCGGCCCGGGTTCGGATCCCGGGTGCGCACCGAGGCACCACTCCTCCAGCCATGCTGAGGCTGCATCCCACATACAGCAACTAGAAGGATGTGCAGCTATGACAGACAACTATGTACTGGGGCTTTGGGGGAAAAATAAATAAATAAAATCTTTAAAAAAAAAAAAAAAAAATTAATCTTAACTGAACCAACTTCCTTTTGCTTCCCCACAGCCTAGGGTCAAAGCTGACCAACTCCTCCCTTCCCCTGGGCCTCCACTTAAATGTCATCCCCCCAACAGTACACATCCTCCATAGCGCCCTATGCTTGGCTTTCATCCCATTTATCAGCAGGATACTTAATTATTTATATAATTTGTCCTTAAATGTCTACTCCCACCCACCCCAAAGGAGCCTGAAGGCTAAATGCTGGCAATCCGTCTTACTTAGCTCACCGCCCAGCACACAGAATGCAATAAATGAACAAATGAATAGATGGATGAAGGAATAAAGGAAGATCAACCTCATCAGGCTTCATGTGACCATCACACCTTCACTTTTAGTTTACTCTGACTGAGCTTTTGGCCTTTCTACACTATCATCGTTACATCTCAGTAAGGCTCTCAGATCCCTTTTGGAGTGAATAAAGGTAAATAAGAGTAAGAAAAATATACACAAAAGTAAACTGAAAATACAAGTGCATCAGATTTCATTCCACTTGGCACTTTCACATGACGAGGAGTGCCCACCTCAACCACAGTCTGTTGTCCTTTACCCCACCCCCCGTTCTACCTCGCGTGCCTGTTCTCGCTCACCGGCACTGACATGCTTGGACACGACGGGCAGGGGGTCGGTCTCCTGCTCAGGCTTGATGAGGATGGAGACAGCAGAGGATGCTGTGATCTCCCTTAAAAGGCTGCTCACTCCTTGCGTGGATTCCTTCAGCAAGGAGGTCACATTCTGCGTTGACTCCTTTAAGAGGTCCGAGACGGTAGGAGCAAACTTACTCTGCCCATTTAAATCCTTGTTGTCGATGTTAATGGCGAAGAGTATGGAGTTCAGACCTTCCCAAAAAAAGGAGAAAAGTCTGGAGTGTCTGCTGTTGAACAGAGTCACACCTCCAACACGATAAGCAAGCTGCAGACATTATAGTATACAAGAGGGTACACACTAATCTTAAACATTGACAAAAACCTCCCACAAAGCTGGGGTTGGTAGACACCAATTCTCACAGGAGTTGAGTCTTTCCAAATTCTCTCCCTATCTGTCAGGAAGGCAAATGCAAGTAAGAAGGGGGCGTGGTGAGGCGTAAGTTCTGGGGTCAGACTGCCTGGGTTGAATCCTAGCACTGCCACCTACTAGCTATGAGACCTTGGTCAAGCCACGTATAACCTCTCTGAGCTTCCGTTTCCTTATCTGTAAAATGGGGACGATAGCATCTCTCTCACAGGGTTATAAGTATTCAAGACCACGACCCACCAAAAACACTAAGCTCAGTAAGCAATCACAAAATGTGTGCCAGTGTCATCATTATTATTATTACTTTAGGCAAAAACCTGCACTGGTATCCTATGGCCTACAGAGGAAATCATGGTCAAATCCTGACTTTCTTACCCATGGACTAGACTAACAGAACTCGCAATACATGGGACTTAGTGTAAACTTTCAGGAAGGAAATAAAGGAGGCAACAAAGGAGTTGGAAGAAAAAAAGCAAGTTGCCCACTTCTATTGGGTTGTTTCCATCTTTCACCCTTTGAGTGAGAGTCAAGTGATGAACAATCTAACAAGTCACCCGCTAACATCAACCAGGGCTTCCACGTTGGCAGATCAGGTACATGACTCTGGATCACGTTTGATCTCTCACAGCCCTACAAAGGGGACTGCTGAGCTACCAGGATTCCCACCTCTTGGAGGAGGAAAGTAAAGGTAACGAAGCTCTCAGGATCTGCCCCAGGTCACCAGCCAGTGAGGGGTAGAGCCAGGTTTCAAGGCAGGTCTCCCACCTCTGATTTCCCGGATCTTTACATTATACCTGCAAAGCTAGAGCCAAAAACCTTCAACCTCGTGCTTACGCTGACAGGGTATCAAATTCTAGATAAATGGACTCAATACTCAACTGCCACTAAAGGAAGGACAGTGGCGAGTGACTCATTAAGTCAGTGAGGGACAGGGAAAATCATAGCATCCCTTAGAGTCATAAACTAACCCCCAGCCAGCCTCCCCTGCTCACCAAGCTTCACAGGACCCAGCATCCCAGCCTCGGCCAGGCTTACCAGCTGCCATGGTAGGGAGCATGCTAGACCTTTCTTCATCCATCACAAAAGACCAATCTTCATAAAAAGTGCTACAAAGTGAAAGAGAAAAAGAAAAAGCTCTGAATAGCGGTTCTCTGCATCCATTAGCCAGACAATTCCGCTATATGGCTCCCTGGAAAATCCATGCCTGGTCAACTCAGAGTGGATATATGAGGTCTCCGCTGGGCTGAAGCTTCTGGTTATAAAAAAGGATTGAACACATATATCCTATGACTTCCTCATTGGTCCCCTGAGATCTTCAGAGTCCCCTGAGCTTAAGAATACTGAAATAGGCATGAAATGTAAACATGGTATTTATGAAGCAGCAAAGGAGAATGGGACAAACAGAAGAGTGACTTCCACTCAAGCCAAGTCTCAAGAGACAGAGGAAATCCAAGCTGGCCCACAGGACCCCCTGATTAGGCCAACATAAGAAGAAACCATTTCAGAGAGAAATTACAGCATACCAGGGCTCCACCAACCAGAGCACTCACATATAACACCTGCCTGGCCTGTAGCCCCAAAAGCCCAAGTTATCCCTGGAAAGGACTGGGAGGCTGAAAAGACCTCACAAATCTTAACAGCAGTGGAGGGTGGGAGCTGGGGGTCAGAGAGGCCTTTACAGTCTGCCCGAAGTCATCTGGCAATAAACAGTACAGCCAGGGTTCAAAAGCAGGTCTCTCAATCCAATTCCCCAGGCCTCATCCAACCCCCTGCTAAACAACAATAAGCAAATTCGCTCAACCCCCCGTCTTCCCCGCTAGGTCAGAGAACTCTAAATTAACGGAGTCCACGCTCAATTTCACTAAAGCACAGTCAGTGATGAGTGACCTGCACTTCAGCAAGAGACTGGACACATTAGCTGCTGAAGTGACTGAATACAACGAACAGAAAGAGTAAAGAGATGCATCATTTTCAGTAAACTTACCCAGCAGGAATCGGTGGAAGCACACACCACATGTGCAAGCTGGCATTGCAACTGTACCTCTGATTCCCAAAACTGTGATTCTTTAAAAATCTGAGCCAGTTTTCATGCATGTAAAAGAATTTGTTTTTCTCAGGTTGAGTTAAATAAGTGGTTAGTGATTCAGGTAAGTTCAACTGTGATGCTTAATAAGCTGGATTCACTTCAACTGCTCGTTGTTAAATTCAACCTTGATATTGAGTGTACAGCTCTGAACTACTTGCAAATGATCTGCTGGAAAGAGCCTCCTGAAAATGTACTGTAAGAAACATGAGTATGTTCTCCTCAACTAAAGCTGCTTAATGCCCAGGAGGTACATACAGACATTCGCAGCCTCCCGACTCAGAACCTAAACAGAAGCCCAAATTACAATTCCACCAAGTGAAGAGCAGGCTGTGTCCTAAGACAGTAGCTCTGTCCACACCCCAAGCCTTAATACTAACAAGCATTTATTGAGTGCTTGCTACATGCAGGTGCCATGCCCCTTTACGGGCATTCTCATTTATCCTCTGACCAAGTGTCCCCAAGCACAGCTGAACAAACCGGGAGTGTAAGAACCCAGCTGTCCCAGAAGCAGGGACTGGGATGCAAATCCAGGCAGTCTGAATCCAGATTCTGTGATTTTAACCACTCGCCATACCCCTCCCAGAGCCCCCTCCCGGTACCTGAGCCTGCTGCGGTCGGCCAGGAGCATGTGCAGATAGCGCTCCAGGGAGTGTTCGTTGAGGGCGCAGCGCAGCCAGGCGCGGCCACGGCCCACGTCGGAGGCGATGTGGCGCAGGGAGTGGAAGCGCTGCAGCTCGTGCTTGTTGAGGACCTCCTTCACGTAGAACCAGAACACGGGCTCTGCAGAGAGAGTGCACATGCACACGGCACTCAGCCAGGGACGCTCATCACGTTTAGAGCAACGTCCCCCAGGTATTTTTGAGGACTGCAAAAGGGTTACTTCCTTAGCACAGAAAAGGAAAACATGGGACAGTAGTATAACAAAAATAAAAATGACCCCCAAGTCCACCATCCAGAGATGACCACTCTAAACATTTTCAAGTACTTCCTTCCAATCTTTTTTCCTGTGCTCTTCTTTTTTATATAAAAATTGACATCTGTGATAGGCTGAACTATGACCCCACCCCCCCAAAGATAACTATATCCTAATCCCTGGATCCTGTGAATGTTACCTTATATGGCAAAAGGGGCTTTGCCGATGTGATTAAGTTAAGGATCCTGAGATGGGGAGATTGTCCTGGGTAGTTTCTGTGGGCCCAATGTAATCACAAGTATCTTTAAAAGAGGGAGACAGAGGGAGATCTGATGTAGAGGAGGGGAAGGCAAAGGGACCAGGGAAGCAGAGACTGAGACTGGAGTGATGTGGCCACAGCCAAGGAATGCCAGAAGCCACCAGAAGCTGGAAGAGGCAAGGAATAGATTCTGTCCTGGAGTCTCCAGAAGGAATCAGCCCTGCCATATCTTGACTTAAGTCTAGTGAAACTGACTTTTGGACTTCTGCCCTCCATAATTGTAAGAAAGTAAATTTGTGTTGTTTTAAGCCACCAGGTTTGTGGTAATTTGTTACAGCACCTATAAGAAACTAATACAACATCACATTGTGTGTGTTGTATACGTGTATGTGTACTTTTGTCTGTATGTATACACATATATACATACACACAATCTATATATATATAATTTTGAATCCTAATTTGTTTCTTTTCTTGTCTAGATCATGAACATCTTCCTATAACATTTAAAGATCTTTGAAAACATGATTTTTGATGGCTTCTCAGTTAAACATAATTTAACTATTTTTCTACTGCTGGGAACATAATATATGATATATTGCCAATTTTCCCTATATACATTAATGAACATCCTTGTACATAACTAATTGTCCTCATTTCCAGTTCCTTAGGAGAGATTTCCATATGCTGAATTACAAGGTCTGAGAATCAGAATAGACTTAAGGCTTTAAGGGAAGGCTAAGAAAGTGTGTTTATCCATAGAATAGTCAATGTATCTCCTCACATCCCACCTTTTTTATCCACATGCACCTAGGTATTTCATAGTTGTAATTCTAGTGTATACCTAATTTTGTGATCAATTTTCTTCACTTAACATTGGCACGTCAACACTTTTTCACACTGCCAATAATAACAACAATAACAGTGCTACTATTAAGCATCAACCATGTACCAGCCATTTCACTGAAAACTTTACATCTGGCCTCAGTCTTCTCTACCACCATGGCCATCTCCATGTCAAAGACAAGGTTGGAGGCCTGGACAAGTGGGGTAACTCACCCAGCAACACACAGTTAGTAAGTAGTATAGCAAAATGGGATCTTGGAGCTGTCTAACTGCAAACCACTAAACCACACTGCCTTGAGAAGTAAGGGTAGGCTCTACCTTCTTCAAAATGATCATGTTCATAACGGTTTCATATCCCAAGAGAGAAAATGCCGAGTCTCTGCTGCCGGAAGGAGATTCTAATCCAGGAGCACAACAGGCTCACAGACCCCTCTGAGACCGTGACGAGATCTTTGAACCTTCCTTCCAGAGGATGCACATACACATATCTCCATAAACTGGGTGCCACGTTAATAAGCTCACTCAAATATTTCCGTTCAGCTCAACTACCATCGACTGCATTCTTACTGGAAGCCACGAACTGGGCAAGGCCATGGGCTACCAGGTAGAGACAGAAAGGGCTCCTCCCTAAGGAGCTTCCAGTCCAGTGGGCAGTGAAGAGATCATTCAACAGAATGACCCTGGGCAGGTCACTCAGCCGTGCTAAGCTTCAGATTCCTCTCCCTTACAATAAGCCCCAAAGTGCAGAATCACCCGGGGTTATTGGGGTAACTGGAGAAAAGGGAGGTGAAGTGCTGAGCGTGATGCCCAGGCCATGATGACCAACCATAGTTTGCTTAATAATTACCTTCCTATACGAGAGCATTTGTTATTTCCTCTTTTCCTTTTTCCGTTAACAGCATCTAAATGTATATGTACATACGAGTGTGTGTACATATTTGTGGATCAAGCCGACCTCTGGGATCATTTCAAATAAACGTCTCAGGAATGACTGGAAAAATCACCAACAGGGTAGTTCACTCAGGAATACCTTCTGTCTCGATCCCTAAATGCCAAACTATGCCCCTTCCAAAACTCATTAGATGAGCCCAAACCACACAAGTGCATAACAGCCTTCTTTCCACCGGAGGCCTCTCGCAAAAACCAGAACAGAGAATTTGGTGAGACCAATACCCTGGGCCGGCCAGCCAATAACTTGTTTTGAAACACACCAGAGGGCCGGCTCCGTGGCTTAGCGGTTAAGTGCGCGCGCTCTGATGCTGGCGGCCCGGGTTCGGATCCCGGGAGCGCCCCGAGGCACCACTTCTCCGTCCAACGTGAGGCCGAGTCCCACGTACAGCAACTAGAAGGATGTGAACCTATGACATACAACTATCTACTGGGGCTTTGGGGGGAAAAAACTGAATAAATAAAATCTTTAAAAAAAAAAAAGAAACACACCAGACAACCATCTGTACGTCCATCACAGTTCAAATCAAGTGACTCTTACCTGCATTCTGTCTTTCTTGAAAGCTGCAGTTACCTCCCTCTGACCTTGAATGCACATGAAACACTTTAAGGTATGTTTTCACCTTTCAATTTCACAAACTGCTTACTGCTACAGAATCCTCCTGAAGCTTGCCAGAACGATGCTGAGGACGATAAGAATTATCCCAGTAGGGCTCCACTTCCACCGTCAGAATTAATGTGGTCTATTTAAAGTGCAGCTCACCTGCCACTTAACACTTGCAGTGCCCATAATTTAATTTGGGAATATACACCGATCTCTTATTGCTTTGAAATGAGGGGCTACTTCCAAAGGTGGGCGAGAGCTTCTGGTTCTCCAAACTCCTGAAAGCCATCTGCCAACAGGAACAAGAGCCAGGAAGCGGGTGTGGAAGCGAGCTACCTGGGGCACTGGTTAATAGAGGATGACTAACAGCACAGGGCCTTTAGCAAAGTTTCTAACAGGCCTCAACTTTAATCAATACCAAGAATTCATACTTTGGAGGTCAAGGAGGACCAAGACCTTGGCTCAAATTCTAGTTCAGGCATTGTATGACCTTGGGCAACTTATTTTGTCCTTCATTATCCTCATCTGTAAACTGGGGCTAACAGTACCTACCTTTAAGGTTTGCTATGCAGGAAAAAGCAAGAAAATAAAGCATACACGTGAAGTGCTTAGTGCCCAGGCATGAAGGCAAGCAATCAAAATCCTTTTCCCTTTCTTCTGGCCGCAGCAGAACCATTTGGTTCCCTGTGAACCTGCCTTCAGCACTACTGACCTCTCCCTCCCACAGTGGGGCCAGGTAACCAGGCTGAGCAATCACCTGGCCACAGCAGGTGACTTGCCTCACACCCCCCCACCCTCATGCTAGCCCCGTTTGATATTTTGTGCATCACGAATTTTTTTCCATACAATTTTTATTTTTTTAAATATTGCATGAACAGCTTATTTATCTTGATTGCTGAGGGTTTTTTTTCTGGTGTCCCCTTAAATTCTGTGGCTGAAGTGAGTGCCTCACTGGCTTCAGCCTAATCCCAGTCCTGGACCACAAGTTCCTCCCCACGACTTCTACCTGAACAAGTAGAAGACAAGCCTTGTCTCCTTCTAGAACTGAAGTCAGCAAACAATGGCCCAAGGGCCAAATTCAGCCACCACCTGTTTTTGTAAGTAAAGTTTTATTGGAACACAGTCACGCCCCTTGTTTACATGTCTGTGGCTACTTTCCCGCTACAGCAACAGCAGAGCTGGGGAGTGGCGACAGAGACCTATGGCCCACAACGCCTAAAATACTGACTATCTGATCCCTTAAGGAAGAAGTTCGGTGACCACCGTTCTAGAAGTAGGAGCTCTAATAATCATGTAAACCTGGAGCTACCTGGGGCGATTTCTCCCCCATCATGGAGAGCGAGCCCACCTGGGAAAGACACCAACCCAGAGAGAAGCAGGGCTGAGAGACAGAGAGACAGATGTGGGAGATGCTGAGCCCCCGAACCCAGCCCAACCCTTAGATTTCTTGGTTACTTGAGTCAATAAGTCCCCTTTTTTGCTTAAGTCTGTCTAAGCGGCTTGCTTCACTTGCAACCAGAAGAAGCCTAATGCAGTGAGAGAGGGTATGTTCTTCAATCATCTGACAATCATTTACAGAGGACCGACCACACACCAGGCACTGAGCAATGCCTGCGTGCAGTGAAGGGGTGAATGCACCACTCAGAAATAAACAAACACAGCATTGCTCAACAAGAAACAAAAATCCAACTTCAAGGAGCTAGGCTCCTTGTAAACAAAGAAAGGCTGCTTCTTCTCACATACTAGTCCTGGAGGCAGACAGCTGGTTCAAAGGCTCTGTCATGGGCAGAATCTCCAATCTCTTCAACTTCACCTCACTGTCTCAGGACTGTCACCACTCTGGGAATCACATCCACAATCGGAGCAGGAAAGATGGGGACAAGATAAAGCCAGCTCCAGCACCCCTTTTCTCAGGCAATGATACGTAATCCCAGAAAACCGCAAGGGAGTGGCGAACAGGATGCCAAGTCTGGCTGAATCACTCATGATCATTGACCTAGACCTAGAGAAGGATATCCCCCAGCCCCAAGCAAAATCAAGGTTCTATTAAGCCAACGAAGAAAAGGGAAATGGATTTTAGGTAGGAAACTAACAGCATCAGCCACACATGGTATCACCCATTCCAGGAACAAAAGGCAGACCAAGTGCTTCTGTACTCCAGCCTGAGACCTGGGTAAGCACAGGTGCTCCCAAATCCCAGTCACATCCCA